AAACAAACATAAAATAGTCGTATGCAGATATGTGTCATCTTCTTAATTTATCTTGTCCTATGGCTGATGTAGATAACTTATCCTAAGCATTCAAATTCAGAAGGCACAAGGCAAATCATTTGAGCTGCTGCTGACCACCTCTCATATATTTTGACGGCATTGAAGGATAATTGTAGCATGACATTCCAAGCTATTAAGAAAAATGTCATTCACAATGGGGATAAAGTTCCAATTTTTTGACCGCAAGGGGACAACATTGTCGAAAACCAATCATAGAATTGCCTAATCAAAGCCTAGATCTCCCAAAACATTTTCGACCCTACAAAACTAATGGAAAACTCAGATAGAAAAATTAAACAAACAAATCAATGAGTGACAACTTTACTGACGCTCAACAATTGAGACTTCTCATCAAATACCTTCCAGAATTACCAAACACAAATAAAAATTAACTAGATATCACAATCATAACCAAAAAGAAAAAAAGCAAGTACAATACGCTGGAAACCCAAAATCAAAACCAATAAAAACCAAAAATAGCTATTGAAGCATGAAAAACTTTAGTAAAGAGCCAATCTTGTCCAAGGACAGAAATAGAAAGAGAAGAAGCCAAATACCCAGCAAATATCTTGAGGAAATACCTGAACTAACTCTGTCCACATGATGTGAAACAGCAGCTGAACCATCCTTAAAAGACTCCTTCTTTACCACTTCTTTAACACCATTTCCACCTTTATCTGATGATCCAAAGCATGGAAAACACCCACCCATATCAAATCCTTACAAATCAACCAAAACCCAGCTGACCCTTTTCACGACACACTTTACTTCTTGCATATAATCATCAATAGATAAACGATACTTATTCTCTTCACCAGGGTATGATACTAGCTCTTCTACGCTTTTCTCATAAAAATCCCAACTTTTTCCAAAATGAATTTTGTTCAAGGGATTCTTACCCATGAGTCACTCATCAGTGACACATATAAGCTCAAAAAATAAAGATCAAAACTTGTTGTTTCAGACAGGGTAGATCAACAAATCGAAGAAACTCATGTCCTAGAAAGAAAAGAAAGAGAAACTAAAGCAAAAAGAAAGAAATTTTTTGCATATTATATTATTATTATTATTATTTTTAAAATACACTACCCCATTATAAATGTGATTTTTGTAGTAGTTAAAGTTGGAAAGATAAATATCCAAACATGGAAGGTTAAAGAAAGTTATAAATGTCATAGAAAATTAATCTTATTTTGGACTTTGGCTGGTGTGGACACAAAAAATGTCACCACTAAATAGCTGAAATAGTTGAATATTGGGTGAGATAACATGAGAATATCAGGACCCACTAAAGCAAATTTAGGGGCATAAGTGTAATTGGATAAATTTGTAAGGTGAAGTGAGATTAAAAAGTTTCTTTTTTTTATTGTGTGTTTTTTCTTAATAACTCGTATATAAGGGTATTTTACTGGAGAAAAAATGTCAAAGAAGCGTGAATCATCAAAAGAGTAGTAAAAATGCTTCCTTTCAAAATTATAAAATAGTAAAAAAAATTAGCCTTGTTTAGATTGCATTTTTTCACCAAAAATTTTATCGTTTTCTTATAATATATTTTCTAATCACATTTTATCTCACATATATTAAATCGTTACAATACATTTTTTTTTTTACAAAAACTTCTCAAAATATCAATTCAAACAGGCTCTTAAATTTACAAAATCAGGGTGAGGTACAAAGCTTGGATTGTTAAAAATTCATGAACAAGGATGCCAATTTTATGCTTCAGAATCAGAGTGATCTTCATGTTCTTGTCGTTTGGTGAATTGAATTAAGTTTTTCTTTAAAAAAATAAATATAGTTTGCTATTAAGGCATAATTAGCTATTGTTTAATATTTGTTTGTAGATTTACAACATCAAAACTGTCGTCGTCAATTTCTTATATGGAAAGAGGATATACTATTATTAATAACTGCCCTCGGTAATTAGAAAATTCAAAGGTGATTAGGTGAAATTAAATCATTGTTAATCTTCTTGGGAGTTGCGGTGATGTCACTGTACATTTGGTGGCCAAGTTGCGGTGAAATTAAATCATTTTGTCTTTTAGATTTTTTTTTATTTTTTGGGGAAAACAAAATTGTTTTTTGTATAGTATGTGTAGTTCCTGAAGCTATTTAAGACACAAACTACAATCGCTGTAAAAAAAAAAAAAAAAGATTTACCAATTTACAGTGGAGAGACAAAAGGACATTCGCATTCCCACTCTAACACATGTTTTAAATGGGATGGAGGAAATAGTAAAAGGTACGTTGGAAAGAAAGATTTAATGATTATGTGCTGTTTCGCATTTTTGGGGTACTGTGAGATGCGGGATTTGAACCGTTTGATTAGGAGACACGATGGGTTGAATCAAAAAGTTGTGACGTCATAGTTCTTGATCCAACGCTCCAGAAGCAGTACTAGCTTTTTTTTTTTTTTTGGGATAAATGTAATAGCTGAAATTTGAATTCCCTTTCGCATTACCATGAGCTTCTTAATAAAGTTTTCTTCTTTTGTGTGTTTGTATATATATTATTTTAATAAGAGAATGGTGGAATTTCAGAACCGGAATAGAGAAAGAAATATCTGAACACAATAGTTAATTTTTTGAAATTTCAATTTTAGTCACTAGATCAGCTAAAATTTTTATTTTTATTTTGATAAATGCAATAATAACTGAAATTTGAATTCCCTTCTCGCATAAGCATGAGATTCTTAATAAGTTTTCTTCTTTTTTTGTTATATATATATATATATATATATATATATATATATATATATATTAATAGGAGAATGGTGGAATTTAAGAATTGGAATAAAGAAAGAAACCTTTGAACTCAAAATGTCTCATTTTTTTTTTCAAAGTATCAATTTTAGTCACTAGACTGAAATCTCACTGACTTCTTGTTTTTTCTTCAGCTTACATATGATAAAAATTATTTTATTGAGTCTCACGAATAATAGTCAATTAAGCTTACGACAACTTAAGTGACTTTAGCAGCAGAAGATTTCCCTGGGGTTTTAAATCGTCCAACCACATTTATCTCTAGATTTCTTGTTTTTACATTTTACTCTTGGATCACTAGAGTCTCAGTCCACATTGTGCAAGGTTCCAATGTCAATTATTGTGATAGTATAGAAAGATGTGTAATCGTGCTTGTTTAAACCAAAAACAGAAATAAGTCAATGACACAACATTTCAAGGGATGTAAAAATTATATTAAGGCCCAGTTTGAGATTGCGGTGCTTTTGGTAAAAAAGCACTTTTAAGTGTTAAAAGTACTTTTGAGGCGTTTGATGAACATCATTTCATAAAATTAGGAGCGGAGTTTTTAGTGTTAAAAGCACTTTTAGCAAAAACTCAAATTTAATACTTTTAGAGTAGTTTTTGTGATTTAAAACATAAAACATTAAATTTTGTCATACATTATCAACTAAATAAAGAGATAAATACATTTAAAAATTTTCAAATTACAGATTATCCAATATAATAAGTATTTATTGAATTATTTATCCAAACAATCTATTTAAAAGCACTTAAACACATAATAAGTACTTTTATTAAAAATTCTATTAGAAAAGGTCCTTTTCAAAAAGTTATCGCAACCCCAAACTAGCCCTAAGTAGACTGCTTACAAGACTCTGTTTTCATAAAAGAGATCCTCAGTGATTTGATAACCTGTTTTGTACTACTAGTTATTATGCAACAAAGTTCTACTAATTTTGGAAAGCTAAAACTCCATTGTTAGTATCATCATGAACAAGACATTGTTTTTAAAGTTGTGGAAATAATTATGAATAAGATACTAATAACACAGTCGTAATAGCGAAACCAAGACATACATTTTGTTGTTGCATGTTTATATACCATTAAAAAGTGACTTTAAACGACGATATTTCTAAATGATAAATATAAATATAGAAATATCTGAATTCATGAAGGTCGATTATCTATTAGTTTATTTCTATATATCGTTTAAATCGTATGTCACTTAGTAGAAGATTGTCATATATATATATATATATAGAGTATGTATACGTTTTGTTCCAAGACTGAACTCATCGTTAGTAACTTACGAAAGTGCCAAATTAGTGGTTACTTTAATCAGTACCAGCAAAATAAAACTCTCTTGATGATCAATAACTATTTTCGCACTAACATTGCCCAATTGGGCAATTACAAGTAACCAGAGAACAAACTTGTACATGTTATGACGACAGATTTTCAAGTGATGAACAATAGAAATAAACAATGTTGTATTTTTAAACTTCCTTAATGCAACACGAATAATCTTATGTTGGCATTAGAAGCAAGCCTTTTAAATTAAATCATGTTGTATTTTTTGATGGAGGGAATTAGTTTGGTTCCAAGGGGGGAAAAAATTACGAACGAAAGGAAGATGGAATCATTATTGTCTTTGCATAAGCAAAAGCACATTTAGTGCTGCAGGGTAGCATTCTCTGGATCTCAAATAGTACGCAAAATTCTAGAATGCGCAAATCAAATCAAACAGCACATGAAAAAGCAGCTGGGAATACAGTTCAAAGTAAATTGAAATTCAGTTCTCATAGTAAGGAGAATATATTCATTCACCGAAGTGACATTTAAACACATCATATAATAGTAGACATCATGTTGTAGAAGTAGAACCGCCACTTCTTTTTTCTTTTTCTTTTTTTTTCTATCCCCAGATTATTTAAACGCATGTTTAGCTTTGCATTCACTTAATTGGAATCCAGAATCAGTCAGGTCACAGTCACTTGATTTTGACAAAGTTTACCATAAAAAGCTAGCTATCATCTGCTCCATATTGTTGCAAACATATTTGATATTCAAGCTTTTGGCCGTGAACTCATTTTACTATACAGTTGCTTAGTAAATCAAAAAGGCCAAAATCTGGTAGCTGAAATTCCCCGCGCCCCCCCCGGGGGTCGAAAACCAGAGAAAGAAAAGAAAAGTGTGAAACAACAAAAGGAAGAGAGCAAAATTGGCTTCAGCTATATCAACAGTTGCAAACATTTTATTATATATCCAATCCAAGAAAAATGACTCTCAATTACTCAGTCGGAGCCGCCACTAATCAAGATTTTGGTACAACACTAGAATTGACCTTATTTAGAGAGTAAATTCTCGATCATCACCCTTTGTTAAATAACTATCAAAGCCACATAGCACCGGCATCTTTGAGCATCTTTTTTAGAGAACCATTAACATGAAGCGTCATCACGGTATTAGCAGAACCAACAAATTTACCCCCAATGAATACTGCTGGCACTGAAGGGTTGCAGCCTAGCCTCATCAGAGCCCATTCCATCTCTTGTCCTCGCGATTCCTCATCGAGTTCGAGGATCATAGGGCTCACCCCTTGCTCATAAAACAGCCTCTTGATTGCATGGCACATGCAACATGAACTCTTGCTGAAAATCACAACAGCCTTCTGTGAAGCCAATTTTGCTATGCGATCCATTTAATAGTAATATTGTATTAAAGAAGAAAAGGTCTGAGGCGAGGGAACTGCACAAGATTCAAATTTACTGATGGGTTTTGAAAAATTCTGGTTATAGATGAAGAATTAAATGTTGATGATTGGATGGAAGACTCGGCTTGGTTCCAGATTGTTGAGATGTGGACATGTATTTATACGGGCATGCAGATGCAAGGCGAAGGTGGTGGGATTGCTAACTTATTTGAATTGTTTAATGCAAAAGAAGAAAAGGAGTTAAAAAGTTGAAGGTTCTTTGAGATATTTGGATAGATGCTATGCTAAAATCCTAAACCCTTTGCTTGACAGTGACTTGTGTGGATCAATACATGTCAGTTTTTGTTGTGCATGGAATCTGTTAGGCTATCTATATAGATAAACCAAACACTACCGAAAGCAGATTCACATAGGCTTAATTGGAAGAATTCCAGAGTAAGGACAACTTTTTTTTTTAGGACAGATTTGGCGCAATTAACTTCGGTTAGACGTGATCAGTAAAAATATATATTACACATGACTCGTAAATTATCACCTTAATGATCCAGGATTAGGAATTGATCGATGGGGTAAATCGTGGGGAATGAATGTCAAGTTTGTAATGCTTAGAGATGACGATGGAACAAGAAGAATCTCATCTTTAAAATGTTAAGAGGTAGCCTGCATTCGTGTCACTGTGGATACATGCATGCGGCGAAAATGCTTGAGAATTTAAAGGGCATGGCATCTTGAACCTAGTTGCGTTTTTCCTCTTCTTTTTGGTCGGATTGCCTTGCAGCTGCGGAGCCATGTTAACGTGGTCGTGCATATCCTTTTATTTTTTTGCCTTTTCAGTTAGCCCAGAGCTCCAGAACTGTTGTTGAGAAGATTCCAGTCTAGATAGGTTAAGCCAAAATTTGGCAGTCATAATTCACAAGGGCCTTCAACATGATTTGTTTTTGAAAGAATCTGTTGTTAAAACTCTTAAGACTGGAAGCGTTGCATTTGGTCAAGTAAAAAGCATAGAACAGGTACAAAAGTCGAGTCAACAAATTAACTCTTGACATCGATCTTTCTAAGTTGTGTTACTGACAAAACCTTCTCTATAGTACAGGTTTGATCACCTCAGCGTCAGAAGGTTGGTCAAGAGACAAGATTGAAAAGTTAATTTTCTATTCCAACCTTTTGCTAGTCTAGTTCTAACGTTTTATTAGTAATTAATTAATCACGCCTGTCAATTCACCAGGACTAGCAATATATGTCGGTGAATTTGGCATACATAACTAACATTCAATTGATAAATTATTGAGTAATAAACTGATATTAAATAAATTGATCAAAATTGACTAATTCTAAACATACTGGCCAAAACCTGAGAAATTAATTTAGAGGAACTGAAAACTGATAGGGGTGGTGCCTTTCTCCACTTGCTATTTAAACCTAGTTAGTATTCATGGTTAACATTTAACAACTAATTAATACCAAAGCTGTTTTTGTGCTATCACAACTTGGATGAAAATGAAATCACAAAAGACAGGCTATAACATGCAGAATATATGTTAGACTTAAATTAACTTGTATACATTAATTAGACTTCTTTGAGGGATTAAAAAAAAAAAAAAAACTTTACTGCTCACCTAAATTTTTTTTTTTATTATTCTTCAATACTCAGTAAATAACATGATAGAGGTGATTGATAACTAAAATTTGTGGAAATACAACGGATTAATTAGCCAGTAAATGATTCTAAAACAAATGGATAATTTGTTTTAAGTTATTCACGAAAGGATAATTGACACGTACCATTTTCAACACCAGATATATACTCTCAGAATATATATCAAGAGAATTATGGAGAGTAATTTGTATTGAAACAAATACGTATATGCATCATTTCCAGCATAAATACATTTTCTGTAGATTCTCGTAAGTGAAAAAGTATGTATATAGAAAGAATGGATGTAATATATTCTATACGTACGTTCATCTTCCACTTATATTCCATCTTTAGAAATGAAAGCGTAGTGTGTGCATTGTAGTTTGTCAACAGTGACCGGCCGTGTGATGCCGTGAACTGCCGTCACATGCACAAAAAGTTGACATTCTATCTCCAACTTGTGCCAACCCCACGATCTTCCGATGACTTTCTATTCCAAAGTGTAACCATATTTTGTGTATATCTAAAAATGTCTAGGTGAAACCAAACCCTACTGATATCTTGACGACTTCATATTTGCACCATTAAATTTTTCTAATTGAAATTGGAAATAGATGGAAAAGCACGTCTATTTGATTCATATATATGACGTCATTAGAAGGTAAAGGACATATTTAATTTGCATAGAGATTTATTTTTAGAGTCATCATTAATAATTATCTCCGGAAGACAAAATATGTGGGAGGCCGTGTAGGAGAAACTTACCAACATTAATTATCTGCTTTATGCCGATGAATGCGCACATGTTCATAGATCCTCAAAGGCATCATCTATGCCATGCCAGAAACTTTTAATTATGAAACCTCGGTTAAAGGAGTTTATTTGGATGATTTATTATGAAACATCTGCGCACATGTTCATAGATCCTCAAAGGAGTTTATTTGGATGATTTATTTAACATAATTACTGTAACATTTTTTGTAATGTGATGTATGTGAGATAAAAAGGTGATTGGGAAGATAAAAAGGTGATTGGAATTTGTGAAGTAAATTTTTTTATTTCAAATCTTCCTAATCCAAACACACCCATTGCAAGAAACCGTCAAAACAATTCGAAAACAGCAGTTGTTGTACATATATATGTGGCTTTTGGACATCTTTGGAGGCCCTTCATGTGGAATATTTCCGACAAGAATAATTATCTAAAGCAATGTTTTTTGTTATTATGATATGATGGTGGAATATATCCATTCACCAAAATGACATCACAATTCTCCATTCTATCAGCATGCATAGCAAATTGAGAGTCACTTCATTGATGCATATGGGAATCCCTTAACATTTTATTCTTGCAAAGCACATAGTTACCAAATTCTCTGAGAACATGACGCAAATTTTCAGATTTGTTTGATATGTATATCATATGTAATATGTTAAATGTTAAATGTGGTGATGGCTTTCTAGGTGGTGGTCATTTGTCAAGGCACTTTTTATCCCTTAAGCAATTTCAATCTACATCTATCCTTTCCTCATTGAGATTGATCCAAGAAAAGAAACAAGAAGTGGAAGAGCGAATTGATGAATTCAAAACAAGAAGACGTAGGAAAACAACAACTTCATAATGTGGATTCAGCTCCCACAAAAATGATCTCTATAGACTACTGGATATAGATTAATAAAGGAAATTGCCACAAATTATGTCCAGTATATTCACATGCGTCGTGCTTAAACATCTGCAGTTTTATTCAGTTCTAATACGTTGAATAGTTTTTCATGTTAGTTCTTCCTGTTTAAGAAAATGCAACAACTAAGAATTAAGTAAAACGATACCAGCAGTAACTATAACATGATAAGGAGAGAAAAGAGAGGCAACACTACAACAGAATCACTATGTATGTATAGTTCATAAAGTCGATCACACGTTAGAACTTTCGTTACCAAAATACCATGTTAACAATGCTTTAGACACTCATTTGTTAATTATCCTACAAATTACAGCATTATCATAGAGTTCCTTCTGTGAAATCATTCGACAAATACATACAAAAAGCAAAGTAGTCAGCTTACATATATAGATATATCACCAATTAAAGCCATAGAGCTCCAGCATCTTTGAGCATCTTCTTTAGCGATCCATTGATTTGAAGAGTCATGACAGTACTTGCCGAGCCCACAAAATTTCCACCTATAAACACTGCTGGCACAGAAGGATTGCACCCCAATCTTATGAGAGCCCACTCCATTTCCTTACCATTTGGAATCTGATCAATCTCATAGATCATAGGGCTCACGCCTTGCTCGTAGAACAGCCTCTTTATTGCATGACACATGCAACATGAACTCTTACTGAAGATAACCACTGCCTTTTGCGATGCCAACTTCACTATACTGTCCATTTTGATCGATAAATGGCAAACTAATAAGTTAATTTAATTGTTTCCTTGCTGAAAAGGGTGTGCTAAGAATGAAACAACAAAGTTTGTAATGTAGCCGTCTAGTTTATTTGGATGGAATGTAGAGAATGGTGAAGAAGTTCGTTGCTGGACTATGGACTTTGATATTCGATAGTGTTTGAGATCTTACGCCCTCATATTTATGCTGGGAAATGAAGATGCGGGATCGATCCATGGCTGACGCCTCCAAGGAACAAAGGGTAGAGGAAAAGTGAAGTTTCTTCTAGAGTCTTAAAGGCTAAAGCCCAGGTGCATTTTTGTGCGCTAGAGCCATAGCGTACTTAATTTTTTTTAATTTTTTTGTCTAAATCTTCTGGTAATTCTGTTTAAGATTTCCCGGAATCAACTTCCTTCTTCCCCTTGTTATCTAGTGCTGCGAAAGCTTGAGATTCTTGAGACAACTAGGTGAACAGTGTGTGTAGGTGGAATTTCTATCTTGAAAGATCAAAATGGTGTTGGAGCCATAATATTCTTCAATAGGAGTGATCTCCAATTGCATGCATGAGGATGATGGAAGTAGGGAATGTCAACTCAAGATGCGTATTCATGTCGGGCAATCACTAGTGGCTGAGGGCAGAAAGATTGATTGATCGATACTGGAAATTTTTGTTGGTAAGCCAACCCGGCAAGTCATGAAAAAGTTGAAGACAAACACTAACTATAGCTACTCATATGTGCAAGATTTCTGACCTCTAGACGTTTAGTAAATTTCCTTCTCACGTTTTGGTTCAATAGTAGTAAAAGTTTGAAATTAATTAACATGGCTAAGATCTTGAGAAGATTAGTAATAAATTCATCAAAGACGTTTAGATCATACCTCAAAGTCAACAGCCAAAACTAATTCAAAGTAACAACACAAAGATCGAATATTTTTGGACCCTTGTGCAGTTCTAGTCCTTAAAGTTATGACAAAAGCAAATCTGGTTTTCAATGTTTAGTACATATGTATTTTTAATTCCTAAAGTTTTGGCAAAAGCAAATTCGGTCCAGATTTAGTGTAATTGACGGATTTTTCTAAATATTGATGGAATCAGTTATTGCAATTACATGTTCGTTGAATTAAACTTCTTAAAAAAGAAGCAAAATAGGTAGTACTCTTGAATGATAATGATAACTAACATGATAGCACGTTAGTAACTAATTAACCACGAAACAAAAAAAAAAAGAAAGAAACTTTGTTAATCTATATGAAAAATTAAGTATTACAATTTTGTGCTTGGGGTAGTGCGAATAGAAGTGATGATGAGTTCTATATCGATGAATTAGGTGCTCTGACTAGTTTTTACTTTAAAAATTTTTCTTTCTTTATTAGTTAATTAGTTAACACATGAGTTATTAGTTCTTATTCATTGGTTTGAAATTTAATGTAATGGACATATGATTAGATGTAATTAAATTTTGGTAGTAATTGGGAAATATTTTTCACATGTCATAAATCTTCTTTAAATTGGATACATTGGGGAGCAGATTTACTATTGCAAAATTTTAGGGACTAAAACTACACATGGATTAAATATTGAGGACTAGATTTGATTTTGCAAAAACTTTAAGAGCTAAAACTATACAAAGACTAAATATTGGGGACTAAAATTGTAATTTTTCCTATTCTTTTCACAAGAATTTTGGTACAAAAAATATTAGCTAGCTCTATACCACGGGCTATAGCTTTATTTATTAGATTAGGGTACCTGTAAATATAATATAGTGATAACCGTACCGTATAATGGACGGCCTAAGATCAAGTAAGAATAGTCTAGTTCGATTTGAGCTTTGATCTTCCCGATTCAAACTCAATTTAAACCGTTGATCTTAATATTATGCCAAACTGGTCTGACTCGATTTCAGATCGTCCATTTGCAATTGTAAGTGCACGAACGAATACCCTTCCCTATTTATCCCTTAATCCCTGCATTTTCTGTTTCAACAATTGGAGGACATTTGACGGCATGTATCAAAATTGGAAATTTGTCGAATGTCATCAAATGATTGGTCAGAAGAAGTTGGTCAAAATCGGACAACGAAGGATGATATTTGTTTAAGCTAAAAATAGTGGGAGCAGATAGATCCGTCCACATGCAAATGTCCTAGCACCCTCAAATTTAAGGTAGATTTGCCACAAGAAAGGAATTGAATTTACAACAGCAACTAGGAAAAATAAATGAAAAGAAACGCTAATTTCTAACTTTCCTTTAATATATAGACAGACAACTAAATTTTGTAGGTATTTTATAGTATCTTACTGCTTGATCCACGACTACAGTTCTTGTCAATTGTAAGAGGTTCTAGACAAGTATTTTACATCAAATATATATATGTTAAACAGTATAATACAATATAACACCCTTGTTTGGGCCATTTTCTGGCTTTTGTTACAGAAGAGAAATAGTTTCCACTTCCAAGGATACCGTAACTTTCATATGAACCTTAATTACAATGCTTAAGAAAACAGTGGATGATGAAAAAAGTCTGAGTCCTGGAATGCAAGATTAAGCCGAAAGCAAAATGTGGGGTAGCCCTCTTTGAGAGGATGGAAATGGATTCATATTCTGATCTCATTCGAGGAGGCTTTAATACTCTCTATATATTGTTCCTAGTCCTTGGCACCACGAAAATGCCTGGTAGCTGACATGCTGATTCCAGAGTTTTGAATTGACAATCGACCAAAATCTAATCCAGAACCAAGATTTGTAGTTAAAGCTAATCGATTATCTGAAGGATACTATTACTTGGTGTGTGTGTCTATATATATATATATATATATATATATATATATATATATCCTTATTACTTGGACACACACACATATGTAGCTCTAGTGCTGATGAGATATACATTGTTTTAGTGACAAAGAACTTTTCTTTTCTTTTCATTTTTTTCCTGGGTGCGAGGCTGGAACTTAATGCAAATAACAACAAAAAAAAAAAAGGGAAGGAAATTGAACCTGGTTCCTGTCAGCCAATGAACTGCTTACATTAGCTAAATGATGGAGTTGTACGACCCGGATTCGATTCCAATGAGTTGCATATCTGTTGGATTTTGCAGTATAACTGGTATAGGAAATGTGTTCTAATCCTTTTTAGAAATTTAGAAATCGAATGGATTCGGTCTTATACATACGCGAGGAAGGTAATCAAAAAAAAAAGAAGAAAGCAATGCCAACCGGCCATGCATGTGCATAATAGTGATAGTTTAGCCATGATCAGACACCAAGCTTTGCATTATCTTGACAAAGAGAATCATATAACTGCACAAAATCTCCACAAGATTTTGCCACCACAAGAATAAAATTCAATACATACAAAAGCGGGTGAAAATGTCAGCTAGCTTGTGGCTCAAAGGGCTGTTCCTGTAGCCACTTGCAATTTGCATATCTTGCCTTTCTAGATAACCATTATCAAGCATTCCTAGATCATGGATTTTCTTTTAGTATTATCTGATTTTATGGATGGAGAGATCTTCTGAACCACAAAACCTGGCTGCAGGAGGGAATGAAATATGTTCCCTTACCTCTTTTTCTTATGGCAGAAGGAATGAGACAGCTACAACTAGTGATTTATACTCAAGATTCATGTACCAATTTTGTACCTCACCAACCATATATCATAAGCTGATCCGTGCGATGCCAAGAACCGCCCCCGTAGTTTTTTTCTTTTCTTTTCTTTTTATCTCCCAAGTTTAAAGTTGATTCTACTTTTCCTTGTAGCGGCATCCATATATGCTGTCATTCCCATCCTGAACCTTATCTTCTTCCTTGCTCAATATCGAAGAAAATTCTGATACAGATCACGACTTATTAGAAAGCATGGATGGCAATAAATGCATTATCATGTGAATTTGAACAGCCATGCACGTTTATAACATAACATCGACAATGTATGTACTTATGCTCGCTATACAAGTGCTTGATGCATTGGATGGAACATGGACGACAATGAAAATTTTCTCATAACAAGTTCTGATCTTGGATTCTTCAGTTCGAGTTGAAAGTGACTGACTTTGTCGTTTCATTAAGCAATCTCGGATTCTTCACTTCACATTTAGGCAACTCTTTTTTTTTTTTTTTGGGTAATAAAAACTTTAGAGTGCATCTGCTCTAATCACTAGAGTTAAAGGCGCCCTTAATATCAAAGGCCATTCATGAGGAATTGTCTATCAACATAGTTTTCACATTTGCAGCAATTTGAATGGACAATACATTTAGATCATAATTGATAAGAAAACAGCATAATAAATAATGATAACCATAACACCTCCGATGGGCAGCTTGTATGGTGATCGCCTTTGGATCTTTACTCGAAATCGTCAGATCGACCATCACTGATAACGTGATGTGCATCTTGGACAAGCTCTACAAAGCTGCAGGGACTGGTCTAACATAAGTCAGGATATTTATGTGACCTAAAAAAAATGATAACCATAACACCTTGAACATACGCATTAAATTTATTCCGCACGCGATCCCGTGAATAGTACACTTAAAAAGAACCGTATTACGGTCAAGGGCCGCCGTACAAAGTGGCCTTTGGGATTCATGATGGCCAGTTATGGGCACCGATTTAGGACACACTGAACTTTTTGTAGGTCAAAAATGTTTGCGTGGGCAATGTACAAACTTTCTAAGTTAAGATCATCAACATGACCAAGATTCGTATTGGTCACGTGCGCATAGCGTGAAAAAGTTAAGGAGCTTTTGAGCTGTTTAGATTTTTCCAGAGGAAAAGTATTCGATATGGGGTTTATATATTTGGTTTGTGATAAGAAACGCGAAAGCTCCCCCTTTCCCAAACGAAAAGAAGGCGAGAACAGCCAACAACAACAAAGATAGGAAAATCTATTAGCTTCCTTTAACTATTCATTAATTGGTATCCTTTTGCATTTTGTTTCATCACCTTCAGATTTATACATGCAATTTTGCAGTCTAAATAAAAGCAGACTTGAATTATAGTTAATAGTTATAGCATGTGATAAGGAACTGGATCGGAGTAGGGCTGTTGGTTTAATCGAATCAAGTTTCGACTTAATTTTATCAATCTCGAACTCGAATTCGATGAGTTTCAATGTAAAGCTCGAGTTCGAGTTCAACTCGAATTTGAATCGAGTGAGCTCGAACTTGAGTTTTAAAAAATAAAAAAAATAATTATTTTATTTTTTAAAAAAATGAACAAAATAATAATTTTTCTTAATAAATAATAAAATATTAAGACTATATATGTAATTTTATTATTAAAATAATATATATATAATCGAGCTGACTTGTGAGTTAAAGAATTGAGTATCTTTGAGTTCAAGTTTGATTGGATCAACTCAAG